AGTGTTACATCTAAAGATTTTACTGCTAGTGACTGCTGACCCGTTTACGTGTAAAGGTATATTTTAAAAACTGTAAAATCTGAAATGTAGCATGAGGAAATAGTGTGACTAGTCTGTCCACTTCAAAAACGCTTTGAAGTTAAGGGATGCTGTTTGAATGCTGCATGCCTTTCAAAACTGTGGCTTGCTTAGGGTTGGGATAAAGCTAGCTGCCTTTCTCAGTTTCCGACCAGCTTTTGGGTTTATTTGTGAGTGTAAAGGGAAGAAAATGCTAAAGTATTTTGCCATGCTTTCACTTTTCTCATATTTCTATTTCAAAATGAGATTCATTCCTTCCTTTGTTGTTCCTGCTGTTCAGTACAAATATTAGCAAAACGTTAGGAATGTAACTGACTATAGCTTGGAGTCAATTGCACTCAGAAACCTCACTGTGTTCATTCACTTTGCTTCCTTCAGCAAGATTATCTTTTTCATGGATCAGTATGTTTTGCATGTTCAAAATCCCGAGATTAGGAATCATAATGAAAAGATGAAAAGCACTAGGCTATTATAGAATTGGTTCAAAAAAAAATCTATATAATGGTCACTTATTGAAATTGCTCCTTAGGAACAATTATTGAACAGCAAGTTTTTGGAAGCTGGTTATGCCTGTTCAAGATGGTAGGAAATTGAAGTTTCTGATATTGTTTCACAAGATTAATTTTCTTTAGTGATAACCTGGGGAATTCTGTAAATTACCTCTTCTTAGTTGATGTAGCACCATCTGCCACATCTGCAAAGATAATTATTTTTAGGAGCAGCTGTGTTTTTTGATTAAGTTTTGAGTCATCAAGGTCACTATTTTTGAATTATTCAATGTAGGAAAATAGAAGCAATTGGTTTGCATTTTGGTCAATAATGAAGGATGTATTGTTATTACTGTTAGTGCCATAAGCCTTATAGCTATTTACTGCAGTCCTCTAATTTCCAAGAAATTTTTTTGCATTCTTTGTGAGAGCATTTAGCTTTGTGGGAAAAGTATCAGTCATAATTCATGAATCAGTAAGACAGCACCTGATGTCAAATAAGTGACTGTGGAGACTCTGCTGTTAATGGAAATATTAAAGTGAAAATGTCGTACTTCTTAACATTGGGTCATAGGTCCACGTTCCCAGCTTCAGTTTCAAAAGGTCAGTTGTAAATTAGGATCTCTCACACCAAAGGAAAAGTCTCCAAATGAGCCATCCTTTAACAGAGATTCCTTATTATGCCTGTGGCCTTCTGCGATAGCTCTAAATCACAGGAGCACATCGAAGTCAGATGAGCATTCTCCATCACATAATAAACAAGGGGACCCAAGCAAAGGTGAGAATTAGAACCTGAAACCTTCAACAGTTTGCTTTATCTTGTCACAAAAAGGCTCTGTTCTGTACCAGATGGCTTGAAAGATTAGTGCTTTGTGTAAACTCTTAATGTGCTGAAGTAATAAGTATAGTACATGAATGCAGAGCTATCATTTGATGATGAGATGGCTACATCTCTGCAGCAGTTTCTCTCAGCTTCCTGCTGTTAAGGAACTAATAAGAGCAGGCAGCTTCTCAAAGTCGGAATAGTTTTTCCCTGGGAAGTTAATGAAAAGTAGGCTTATCTTACTGGCTTTGCTACAGAGCGAAGGTGGCAGACCTGTATGGCCTGAGGAGGGTCTCTTAAGCAATCACATATGCGTTGAAAATTAAAGCTTAGAAAGGGTGCCCACAGGATAAAGAAAGAGAGGAGGAAACTTTGATCTGAGAGATGAGATAATTGAAAAAGAGATGTTGAAAAGCCAAACCCGTGTTCCATGTTGAAAGAAAGACCTGTGGATCTGAAGGTATTTAGACAGAACCTCATACACTGCTTTTTCTTGAGTTATGGAAAACTCGGGTTTGTGACATTGAATGCCCAACCTGAAGAAGCTCAGCTAGGTGCTCATTTTTCCATCAGTTGGTATGTACTGCTACATACCTACTTTGCATGATACCTAGAGGTGTTCATGTAGCTGACCATCAATGATGACCAGGGTGTGGGGGTATGTGTTTCTCTGTACTTCTTTTAGAAATTGCTTGCTCATAAACTCACTAAGGAAAAGGCTGTGGAGTCTAAAACTGTTTCTGAATGTAGGTCTCCTAATTTAGTATTTGTTAAAATTCTTCCACTTTTCAGTGACTGTGAACCCTGACTGTGTGAACCTGTTTGCAAACAGTGGGAGCCTGGAGTTCATACCACTAGCACAATGCTAGAGTTGAACTGCAATGCAGCATGACCATAAGGGTTCTGCTCTCCAGTTACAGCACAGGAAACATGAACCCTGAGACAAAAAGAGAAACTCTCAAAGTGTTACAGATACTCGTAAATGTGCTGTCCCTTGTCCTGTGAAACACATTTGTTGATTTTACCTGTGTTCTGAGTAATCAGTTGGATGTGAAATACAGCTCTGAGGGCTGAGATAGCTGACAAGAATTTAGGTTTACCAGATATCAGTAACACCAAAGGCAGTTGATGCCTGTCTGAACTTCAGTCTGAGATGAAGCCTTTTGTCATTCAAAACATTTAATAACATTCTACACTTATTTCACGCATCACCTACTTTTAACAAGCTTTTCTATTTTTACAAATTAAAAGTGTGTTTCTTTTGGAAACAACACAGATTTTAAAGGATTAAGAAGATTTCACAGATCTTTTTGCTTTCCACATGAGTAGGAAGACAGCCTCACTACTGTATGGAACACGTCATGTGCTACCCCTTAGTGGAGTATCATCTAGAGATAGAACAAATTTGTTAATACTCCAGAATGTGACTCCACAACTATATTTTTCAGTTATACTTTATTGTACTATTCTATTTGTACTGTTCAATTAAGGTCCAAAAAGGCCTTCAGTTAGTGGCCACACTATCATCTTTGTTGCTTTAGACTCAGTGACACTTTATGAACTAGAAGTTCAGTTCTCTGCACACAGTGTAACTGAGAGCAAATAGTCATTATCAGCATATCAATTCCCTGTAGGGCAAGGCAGTGGCAAAGCCACTCAGTCTTCCTCTCAGTGATGAGCAGGAGAAAACAATGAGCCTTGTACTTCAACCTGCAGGTCAGACTTGATTTGTAATTTACTATTAGATTGCAGAAGTGATGCATCTTATGAAAAGAGGCAGTGTTTCTGCTGGGAGTGCTGAGTTGTACCTAGTACAGAAGCTGCATCTAAATGCGGACTTATCAAGGAGGGTACTTAGACAATATTTGACCTTCTGAATGTGAGGTTCCTATTTTTAATGAAGATATAAAACCAGAATGACTTCATATGTTTAATGTCCCTCATTCTGTCAAAGAACTTGGTATAAAGCCTATAAAATGCTCCTTTGCTTTGTCAAGTACCAGAGAAATTACTGCCCAGAAATGTTACTGTTTATCTATATAATCTGAGCAACAGAGCAGAATTTTGTAAACAGACAAAACTCTCCCTTGAGATTGTATGATGCTGGTATCTTAGAGAGAATTAAGTGGTATCACACTTTTCAAGTGAAGTCAGTTAACCTACAGCTCTCACTTGTACATCTGTATTCAATCCTCCCATGCAATTCATGAAGCTTCCCCCCAGTTAGCAATTAATAAGTGCTAAGTTAGCTTTATATTTTTTGTTCACTCCTCTAATTCTAGCACATATAAATACTTCTTTTTTAAAAAAATAATTATGGAATAGCACCACGCATATCAGCAAAATTCTTATTGACAAAGTTACTTATCAGTGGGAGTGGATATATTCATAACTGCTCCTAAGCAGTACCAAGGGAAATATACATATATGAGTCCTTGAGAGAAAGGTGGTAGCCTTATTGAGCGACTGTAGATTTGGGCAAAAAGTGAAAGTAGCCTCCTCTTAACATATTGGCTTAAGCTTCAGTAAAGGTGACTTATGAAAATGCATTTTAGTTCTTAATTGAGCATACGAGGAAATTGCACATTGTCTGTTATCCTGCTAGAACTGATGAAAGATTATTAGTTAAGCTATGGTAACCTAGTCACTTGTTATGGTCTATCATAATGTGTTCCACATCTTCTCATAAATGACTTGCAATAAATTAAAAGCATTCCAGGGACCCAATTTGGGAAGCAGAACTTGATCGTATAGGATACTCTTTTCCTAGTACATTTCTGGAGAAAGAGCCCTTTCACACTGTGCGGTCTTTAATTGCGATCACATCACGTCCAGAGAGAGAAGCTTCACTAAGCTTGTGACAATTTGATTATTATATAGAGGGAGATCTTACAAGACTAGCCTGAACTGTTCCAAAAGAAAAGTGTGAGATGTGGCACCAGCTGTGCATGCAAATGACTTGGCTGGGGAAATTTGTTTTTATGGTTTTGTATTTCACATCTGCACAGTCCCAATGTAAATATGGTTCTGTTGCATACAACTGACTCACAAAACAGAGTATCTGCATGACTTACCTTTGCTCTAAACTTACAATATATCAAGCTCCTCTATCTAGATCATGGAATTCAACCACTCCTGTTGTGTTTTTTACATTTTAATCACTACCCCTTAACTTCTATCCAGGCAAGTAAAAACACAGCAAATATTTCTTTTGTCTACCAAGCTGAATTAATGCAGCAAGTATTTCATTTGCTGCTCCAAGCTGCCTGCTCGTGAAAACAAGCTAGTATCACTTTTTACAGTGTCATTCTAGACCAGCAGATATGATTATAGGCAGCTATATGCTATCCTTTAGTTTTCAAAAGACATTGGTCTGCTATTTTATGTCAAAAGTATGTAGTTCAGGAGAGTCTTCCAAAAAGGGAAAAATTAGGTAATAAATAGACTAAAAACATCACCAAAGAGAGTATAGACAGCTTCCTGTAATCTCATTTAAGTTCCATCTCTTTACTGAACTGTATTTTGGTATTATTTGAGTTATCTGTGTAGCAGAGTCACTGGAAAGGTTTTTTGGGGTTTGTTTCTGTTTTGTTCTTCAGCAACTTTGAATCTCCACTGATGCATGAAGTCCCAGAGCACCAAGGCAGCAGCACAGACAGTTCGGCAAGCAGTTTGGGAAGTTCTGTCACAGCATGTAAGAAGGTAACTTCTAAGTTTATGTTATATTCAAAGGCAGATATATCCCAGGTTATAGCTTTGCTTTTTAGCTTTTGTCTTTATTGGGGAATACAAAATTTGACTGATACCTAAAAAAATAAAAGGACTGATACAGAAAAATAAATTCTGGGTACTGTTATGGTATCTTGCAATTTTGTCTGCCTGGTCTGTATTTGTCTGGGCCTAGAATGTATTATACATATTTGGGAGATAAACTCCCCCTGAACATTTCTATTTTTCCTCACTATCTGACAATATGAAATAAAAGCAATGCATATTGGGAATACCTTCAGGACTGCTCTTCAATAGGTGGCAAGTTTCTGGGACCCAGTCCGAGGGTCCAGAGCTTTGCTTCTTCTCAGGTCACTACAATGGAGTGTCCCTCATGAAACAACACAGGAGCTGGTACTGATTTGACCGTTGCTGTTTTTACTGTCTAAAATGCATTTATACGTAATTATTTAATTGGGGGTGGAGAGGGGGGACGGTGGAGTGGCTATGTGTGTATGTATGTCATTAGGAGGAGTCAGGTCATGACTGACATTATTTTATGCATGTAGGTAATTTCAGTACGTCTGAGAATACACAGGTGAAGGCCATGGATGCTTCCTTTTATTAACCTCCTCCCCAGGACCAGATTATGGCAGTACAGTCCAAGGGAAGGGGGCACTACCAGAGACCTATTGAGGCAGGCAGGCCATCTCTCATCTCTCACTTTCCAATAACACTCAGAATTCTACTGTCTCCCACAGGCGTAATTCTAGAGCTGATAAGAAAGCAGTTGTTCTAACACAGAAATGTTATAAAACTTCACAGTTCATTCAGTTTTCCATAATTCTTACTTTTTTTCTTCTCTTTCCATTAGTAATAATAATGCTTTCCTTTTTTTTTTTTTCCAAAATAACAACAATATATATTTATATATGTAAGCATAGAGAGAGAAAGATAAAACATGTAGAAGATAATTTATTTTCCTCATCCTGAAAACTACACTGTGAGGGACGAATATCGTCTGTCTACGGAAATTTTATTAAATGTAAAATCATTGATATAAAAAGGAACTCAATAGGCTGATGTGTATGCCAGGACCGGGCTTCTTCATCTCACCCCCACATGGCTAAAGGACAACCTATCAGTATTTCATTTGATCAAAGGATTTGTTTAATTGCAAAAGAATACTTGATTTTAAAAAAAATGATGCTGGCTGTAATTGGAATCCCCATATAGGCACAAAATTCATTGTGTTAGAGAACATCTTAAATTTTCATGTAATCTCAGAGTTGTCTATTTTATGTAAGACTGAAGGACAGTGGCACAGCACTGAGAAGTGCCACCACTGTGTTTACAAATGCTCCCAGCTTGGTCACCTTCAGAAGCACCACTCCTTTTAAAGGCTAGCCTTTACCACATGATTTAGAGCTGCTTCACCTGTCTAATCCCTTACATTTGAACTTTTCAGTGTAACACAAGTCAATTTTATAATTGTCAGCACACTAAAAGAAGTGAATCACATCTGCCAACACTTCTGAGAAACAGCAGGATATTTGGGGCTTCTTTATAGCATTGTCACAGAATGTGTTACCATTCTTTTTTTGTATGGAAAAGAATTAAGAATTACCAAAAATAGGCCATTACCTTCTCCTTTAGCCTCTGTTAGTTACAGTGATTTTTAAGTTAGATGTGTAACTGGTGGAGTGAATGGTATGGGTTCCTGCTGGAAGGGAACAGTTTAAACAATTGACTTGCAGGTTTGAGTGTATTTGGCATGAATGGCTCCTGTGAAGAACCATATGAGATGTGGCTTGTTACTATACAGACCAATCTGAACAAATGCAGAAGATGTGCCCCTTGATATCTCATCTTATTCTGTATGTCCCACTTTCATATCTTTTTTGATGAGTAGTAATTAACCAAAGCAATTAAGATGATCAGCCATGAAGACGCAGATGTTTCATTTGTGGAGCAGAGCCTTTTTAATGTTGTCTTGGTTATAGATATTTACTGTATTTTAATGTCTTATGATCTAAATCAGGGAGCAGGAAGCTGTTACACTAAACTCATGTGCAATATTTTCCTCTGGGACAGAGCGACTTTTCTAATCCACACTCTGCTAGAGGCTGATTTAGTTCATTGATTCACAACACACTGAGTAATGCTGACGGCTGAGTCTCTAGATGAGAGTGGAAAACTTTTTTTTAGAACCATGAATTACTGCTGATTTCACATTTAGTGCACGATGCAAATTCATCCTGAATTATTTTCTGAGTGTGATGATCCTGCTCTGAACCAGATATACAGCAGTATAGTGTGTGCAGCTGTTACACATAAGTATGGTCAATGAATCAAGTTCAGCTTTCAATTGTACCATTGCAAATCAGAAGCAACCTCACTGAATTCAGCAAAATAGCTAACAATTTATGTCAGTGGGATTGGCCCAGAATTTGTCTCAATTAAATAAGAATGAAGAGAAGTACACAATAGGAGGAAGAAATTTTGGCAAGTGATACTGTTTGCCTTAAAAGTGCAGGCTATGTAAAAGAAGGATGCTGACTGACAGCTGAAGTAATACAGGTTTAGGTTTCTTATCCTTTGGTACAGAACGGTTCAGTATTATTTGAAAATATGCTTAAATGCAAAAATGGGAATCAGAATGTACTGGTAGAGTTACATCTCTGAGTTCTCACATTGCATTTGATTAATTAATTAGCCCTGTTAATTTAGGCCAAATCCTTCAAGCTTACACACTTTTGATCATTGCAGTCATACATTATTTTACTACAGAGACTTCAGTATATTCCTTTAAAAGCATGAATATCCCAGCAAGTTTTAATACATATGCAAACTCCCACTTTATATAAACACATGCACATAGTTAACAGGGAGAATTGCCTTACAATAGCGAGATGCTGTAAGAAGAATTACATTCACTCTTACTGTATGTTTGACCATGATAATATTGCTGTCTGTTACCGAAGAAATATGCCCAAAAGTCACATAGCTTCTCTATATGCATTTTTGCATACCAAGTGTGTGTAACCCTACTGTGATCAGCATTGCAGGGTGGCCCTCTGCCAGCTTTTGCTGCGTGGACTCAAGTATATCTGGTTTTGTTTTCCTCACCTGTTGTCTTCAAATCCAGTTTGCTGCAAATTATTTTCTCCAACCTCCAGGAGTAAAAACGTTATGCCTACTGCACCCTTCTTCACATTTCTGGCTACATTCCCAAGTGCATGTGTGAAACTTCTTATTGTCACATGAGAGCAGAATCTGGCCCAGGTAAAACATCATCCTACTAATGTCGTTCATCTCCTTGAGGTTACTTAAAAATCACATGCTGTCCAAAACTTCCATGTAATAATTTCCACCCATGACTTCAAAGTTTATTGTGAAAAGCTGCATACAAAAATTAAATGTACTACAAAGCCTTGCAACTTAGAAGCCATCCTGGAACGACCCAAGCTTGGCAACTATGACCTGACTGAAACATTTGTTAAGGAGAGTTATTTCTTCTGTTGGTGCTATACCAGTATTTGCTTTCCAATAAAAACATCCTCTGAAAGAAAGATAGAGCTACCAAGGGTCATTTAACATCCCACAGGAGGGAAACTCGGTGAAGTTTGGACTGCCCAGCTCATTTCATGGGTTTATCATGTACAGTATACATCTGCTACAATCTAGCTCTTCTGAAGTGTTGGGTGTGCATACCAAGTCCTTAGCAGACAAAGAATAGTAGTACCAAAGATTTCCGAAGCTTGTTTCTGCATGATAATTTCTGTCTATTCTGGTTTCTTGGAAACTGTTTGAGATTTCGGAAGGAAAGATCTAAAGTGATTCGGGCTGAAGACAAATTCACTGTGATTTTTAAGGAAATTAAACAAGACTGCTTGTTACCGCAAAAGTTATTTGAGCTAAAGAGAACTGTTTCCTATGTGTGCAAAATTATGTTTTAACAGGTAATTAGAACTTCTAGTCTTGAGGATGAGAAGATCTAGAATCAGATGAAATCTGAAATCATTTAGATATATGTAGTTATATACGTGTGTGTGTGTATGTATGTATATGCTCAATTCTTTGTGTCTTCATAAAAACCTCACAGGAAATTTTTGGAAAAGAGAAAAAAAATGCTTGATTCTACACTTTATCAACCAGTTTATAATAGTTCAGTATTTCCACATTTGAAAACATTTCTTAAAAAAAAAAAAAAAAAGGAACAGTTTATAACACTAACAGGAAATTGTTTCTTTGGGATATGAAATATATTATTTTCCCCATTTAGTCTCAGAGTTAGTTATTGTGGCAGGAATCTCTTTGCACTGAGACAGGAGGTTATAAAATTTATTGAGTGCAGAGTCATTCAACTGGTAAACAAGATTAGCTAGCAGCCCCCAAGAAGAGACTAGTGTGGATGTGAAGCATTCATGAGCCTTTTGTCATTCTCAGAACAAAGTCTTTGAGTACAGTGCTTTTCCTGAGTATTTTGTCAACCCTGAATTTGTATTGAGAAGCTCTTTGGAAGAAATTCCATAGAAGGGCTGGAATACTGAGTAACAAGCACCACAAAGGTGCACAGCTTTTGTGGACGGCACCAAAGAAGGGCACTGAAGCAGGCCAAACTTATGGGCTGTGGGGTTTCCCATTGCATCCTCATTCATCTTCCACTGACTTTTATTGAGAAATCAATATAGAATAATACAGGGAGTGCAGTATTAACTATCTAACTGGCTTTCTGCCAGAAAGATAAAAATTAGCGTGGGTGTTAGTCTGTGGGTGGTAATAAGCTTACTTCTGGGTTGCCTCTGAGTATTAGAAAATTGTGTCAACTAGCCAGATCAGCTTTCCACAGTCATTCATCTTCCCTGAGAAATGAAGAGGCCTCACAAGTTCTTCTCACTTCTCTTCCTAAGGAAGGGATCAAGGCTTACGGATCAAGTGTTCCTGAAGTAGGACAAAGGTGTGTCAATGCGAAACATGCAGTAAAGGCAAAGGAAAGTACTGTGAATAGATATTTTTTTTTCCAGGTAGAGCAACAAATTTATATTTTAAGATATCATTATTAAAATAAAAGGCAAAAGAGCTAGAGTACAGCCTATTTCTATGTAATACACGAATTGTGAGAAGTATAAAACACACTTCTTAACATTGCTGCCTGGGGAAGACAGTAAGACGATAAGAACATGTAAAATGTTCTATAAGTAGCATCATTGTTGCAACTATTCTTTTCCTGCTATTACCTAGATGTTTTAAAAATACTAAGGGTCTCTCTTTTTCACAGAAGAATATTAGTACAGAGGCAACAAGTAAGGAATTCAGCTCAATCTAAGCGTCAGACTTGCAAAACTGGCTTTGCCTCTTTATAGTCTACAGATACATGAAGTCCTATTTTGGTTTTGTTTGAGCAAAGCTTATGACATAAGCTGTAGGACTGAGTCAACACAGAATAAATGCAAAGTTTTGGTCTCAGGGTACTGACTGAGCTCAGTAGTCATTACAGCAGGTCTTAAGTACATTAGCTTCTCAGAAAGCTGAAAAATGTGTTTAAGAAGAAAGAATCTGTAGCCTAGGCAGTCCCAGGAATGAGGCTGCTGGCAAAATGAGTAGTACTGATCTATTGTGGAAAGAGATGCAATAAATCATAAAGGCTGCAAGATTGTGCACTCTGGTATAATTAAATAATTAGTTTTCCCAACATCTATGTTTATCACTTTAACACAGAACAAAACTCCTACCAATATTTTCCAATTAAAATGTTGGGTTTAGGCATCTCCGTCAAGCATCTCCAAGGACTTCCAGTTCTGAAAGGAAATAGGCTAATGCTTTAGGGGATATATAAATCACGTGATTTAAAGTGCATTAACTGGACAGGTCCCAGTCTTGCGCCTCCAAAACTTTGTAGGCAAGATTTCCTTTGAGTTACAATAGAGTTCAGGCCCCCAAAGCACAGTAGGACTGAGTAAATTTTTTAATTATTTTAACGATCTTTAACTATTTTAACAGATTCTCTGCAGTAACAGTCTGCTAGAATCAACAGACTACTGGCTGCAGAATCAGAGGACACCATGCCAAATTGGCTTTCTGGAAGACAAGTCAGAAAGCAACTGTGCCTCAGTAAGTACGCGCTGTAATCTCCTCTGGGGAAAAGTCCACCGAGATTTATTTGGGTAAGGTGCGGGACCAACCATAGTACGTGCTAAATTAAAAAAAGTCAATGACTAACTGACACTGAAATTATAGCAATCTATCTATGGTTTCTGTAATTTCCAGCTTTCTGTTAAAAGCAAACATACAAAGCAAAAATGCATACAGATTTCTATACAGAGCACATTAATAAAGAATACTGCAGAGGTTTCCCCACATTTGGCCTTCAGACATTGTGGCCCTCTGTGGTTTTTTTTATGTTCATAATCTGCAACTGACAAGAGAGAAATGAAAGCCAAACAGAAAATTATTCCAAACTGTAAGTTGTTAAGTGGCAGGTTGGAAAGAGCAGATGTTTAAAAGGCTGTTCAATGTTCTTGAAGGCATAGAGATACAATTAAATAGAAAACTCTTTCCATATTAGATGAGAAGAAGCTGCTAAAGAACTCAAACAGAATTATTTTACATTTGAAATGAAATTTAAATCTCACTATTGTGGGTTACAATGCAATTAGGAACAGCTTTTGGTTAAAAGCGTACATGAAGAAATAGAAGTTATTATGTTGCTTTACACACTATCTGCATGAAACTGGATGGAAGTACATTGCTATGATTGTAATAGGTTTTTATTTGATGAAGGACTCAGGAGAGCAGATCCTTACTTGAAATCCCATTTGATTGCTACTCCCTGGCCCCAGTGAGCCAACAAGGGCTTTAGAAAAGAGTGGTTTTTTCTCAAGCGAAAGTTTTCCAGCACTGCTTGTGCTGCACACAACCTAAAGACCAGCTAAGGGCTCTCATGGAGTCTGCTGGGATTCCCTCAAGGACATGGACATTTCAGCTCTAGCTGATGAACCCACACGCCTGCTGTTAAGAAGCTGAATCTCCATCCCATGGTGGTAATGACCAGAGCTTTGAGTCTTGCCTGGGGGTGATGCAGCATGCTTGAGAACAGCAGGAGTTATACAACACTGTAATTGCAGCAGTTAAAAGTTAGGAATACAGTCAAAAGTTATAGGGTTCAATTCACTGTCATGCTGTACACTGGACTCTCAGTTTCCACAAGACAGAGTGAACAAAATACACAAACCTAATCAGCGTGCTAGTAAGCAGCCATACAAGGTATAAGGCGAGAAACTAAACAGACTCCTATGTCTATTTTGGATGATGCTGGGTGAAACAAGGAAGAGGATATTAAGGAATAATGTTTAGTGGTACTAATTTCTTAGACTCCCCAAACTAGAGAGACAGCAGTTTCCTTTTCTTTCTGCATGTATTGTCCCAAGCAAAAGGGTCACACTATTATGAAGTACCAAGATTGTTCAATTGCAGCTGAAATGCTGCCACTCGAACAGTATCCTGAATACATTCTTAACCAGAATGGGGCCATCAGGCAGGTAATCAGTGGTATCCTTGTTGTTTAATGTAGGAAAGGATTGGTGTTAAAGCAAAAATCATTGACCTCAGTCACTTGGTTTTACTATTTAGTATTTCATATCCTAAAAAAAACCCAAACAAAGAAAAAAAGAATTATGACTTGCTTTTTGATACATTGAGCTTTGACTTTACTCTTGATGGGTTTCTGAATCTTATAGGAAATTATATCTATCTCTGATAGGACGGAGTTACTGAGAAAAGATAGCTTGTTAAAGCAAGACTATACTCAGATTTAATTTAAAAATACCCCGTATAGTTGCATGATACACACTTTTCCTCTTGAAAACACAGATCTAGCCCTGGTCAGTCACCTTTGAAAATAAGCATTACTCTTACCATTCTGCAGATGTGAGAGAAGAGGCAGAAGTACTGAAATTACTTTTCATTACAGTCGTGAGATTCTGAGGTAAGGGGTTTCAGCAAGTCACAGATCAGAATCTCACATGTGCTGAACGCCCACAATTTTCCCTGGCAAAGTCATGCAAGGTGATAATTTTCTTTTAATCCCTCTTTATCAAAGAAAAGACAAACAAGACACAGCTCTTTCCTAAGAAAACAGTTTGTGTTAGTGTAATGTGATGGTATAATTCTGCTTGTAGGCAGAGGGTGGGCAAAGGTGCTCCGTGAGGTTTCCAGGATGCAGAAGTGCCTCACAGTTCCTAATGGCATCCTAAACTAAACTGCAAGACCCTGACTGACCCCTTTCTTACATTGGAGGAATATTAGGCTTTGAAACAAGGTCTGCCAAGTCATCTTCTCCCATTGCTTAGTCCTTGTGTAGGGTACATATAGGACAGCCAGCTTTCCCTGTATGGTTTTCTGAACACAGTGCCAACTCTAAATAAAGAAAAATGTCACAATTTTCGAAGCAAAATTTTAGTACCTAGTTATATATGCAATTTACAGTTATCACTATAGAAGAAAAGAGATTATATTGAAAGAGTTCTGTACCAATGAGATTGAAGTGGAATACAAGATAATATATTGAGTGAAATTAAAATATATAGAGAGAGCATTAATTTAGAGGCTAAGAAGTTAAGTATTATTTTGGAACATTACTGTTCACATCAAGAGAAAGGGTATTTGGTGGCCTGGAAGCTTAGTTCTTGCTCTGTCCCTGGAAGTTACGCATTTGAGTTACTCTTAAATAGTTACTCATAAACTGTTATGAGCAAAACTAAAGTTTTGTTCATACTCCTGGTTAAATTATTCTGAGTGGTAGTACAGTACAGAATTTTAATCTGGGTGCCTAAAAAGTTGCACAACTAATGTAAATACAAGCAAGACTAGAAAACTTTGACATTAACCATCACTTGATATGTGTATTAGAGCGTAAGCACTTTTTTTTTCTTTTTTTCCTCAGAATTGCTTTCACCACCTTAGATATGTGGGTGATTCATTTGGCTATGCATAATACATGAGCAAACCAGGGAACAGGGAATACTTAACCACTATGCAAGGACTAAGCATTAGTTCGGTATCACACTCGAAACTCGCAAAGCATTTGATTCTGAGTCTTGACTGATATTAAATGAGTAGAAGCTGCAGGAATGAGAGAGGAAGAAGTATATAAACATGGAATAGATTCCCCAGTTTCTCAATTAGCAAGCAAACCAGACTGCCCTTACCAGAAAATACATTCTGTCTTCTCTTTCATGTGGATGATATTATAATTTGCTGTTGCCAATGGTGCCAGAGATGTTTTAATCAAACTGCCTCTGTAAGTTGTCATTAGGTTTGCAGAAGGAAAAATGAAATCTCAAATGTGCTATGTCATTAATGGTTGCTTTTCCCAAAGATAGCTGGTGATACATTTAGCTATAGTGTTCACTGTTCATTTGGAAGAGTTCATATTTTGTTATAAGGGGTCTAATCTTATTGTAACTATAAATGCAACAAGATCATATGAACATAAATTTCATAAATGTTATATTCATTATGACCCATTTCAGATTAGCACGGTTAGTACAAGTAAAAATAGACTCATGGCTATCCTACATATGCTCACCAAGTACACTAACATTGATTTATTAAAACACTAAACATTTAACTCAGTTATAGCGACTACTTTTTCAAAGAGAGAATTTAAGCAGAACAGGCATTTTGGTATGTGTAATAGTCCATTCATTTCCAAACTGGTTAGTGAAAATGTAGCCATTGTGAAAGTAATAAATTGCATTAGAGGAACAGTATTTCATATTTGCTTAAGTTGGAAATCTTCTCCTGAGCTGTGAAAATTGTTATTTCAAATTCTGGTACCCCACCATACTAGAACAAATGCTAGCATGTCCATATTTAATCCAATGTTTCTGGTCACCTGCAAGGATGAACAATAGAAATCATAGGGAGAAATATTAGTGAGATGTGGTGTCTGTTCTCTATTTTTATGCCAAAGTAGCAGTATGTTGGTGAGTTGTCTATGAAAAGAAGTGTTATATGTATAATGAGTATGATGTGAACAGTTTGAAAAATTGTCTCGTCCTAACTTTCCTTTTCTACTTTCTGTACATACTATTTTTGTCCAATTCTCTGTGTTTACATTTAGGAAATCAGATTAGATACACTAGGATTGAATCCAGGGAGACAGGGCTAACTGTCTTAGGTTATTAGAGCTTTCTAGGGAGATTTCCCGGAGAGGCTAGTCAGGAAGGGGCAGCTGAAAGAGATTTCTTGAAGTGCTTGAAGTGAAGGCAGAGTGGGAGAGAGTGAAGGTAAATCCTGTAGTAGTGCTGTTTGTTTTCATTTCTGTATTGGAGTAAAACATCCTACTAGCTCTCTTTAAAACGTCCCTAGGTTGAAGCGTGCTACCCTTCTTATTTCAGATGGCCCTATCTGATTTCGCCATGCTGTCTGCTTAAAAAGGTTAAACTTCCTCAAAGAACAACTACTTCTACACCAATGTTATGAGCGGTTTTTTCCTCTTGAGAGGATACTTGGGTAATTGCTGAACATTAAATGAAACTTGGTTCAATAACAGTGATACTGTTTAGCATCAGTTTCGTGCTGCAGATTAGAATACATAGTTTCATGCTAATATAATTAGTATAAATTTTAAAGGTAGTTTAATTATGGAAGTCTTGTTTTGTTTGTTTCCACTGAATGAGAACTTAATCAAAATCCACCTAACAGAACAAAATACATGGATTCATAAGACATAACCATTTATAAGCTGCACATAGTGACTTATAAATGTAATTAAAATATCTGTAATGTGACATTCTTATTATCCCATGAAGAGACCTCATAAAATAAATGTAGTTTCACATAACTGTATATACCTTTGTCCACTCCATTATTGCCAACTATCCTTCTCTGAACCTACATCAAATCTTCCCTGCTTTAGACATGCTTTTAAGCAAACCTTATTTGAAAAGAAAAAAGTGATAGATACTTTGTCCCCATTTTCCCTCCAAAGATCTAGATTACTTAATTACCAATGCTGAACATTTGTAGCTAGCTTACATTAGTACAAGTTAAGAAATTTAAATTCTTCCTTAATTAGATGATTTATAGTTTCTTCTAGCATTGGACTC